TCACGAGTACGTTTCTCTTCCAATTGACCAAGATTTGTGATGCGTGCTCCTGTTTTCCCCAAGTCCATACTTTCCTGTGTTCTTGTCAAGCACATACTTGGAGAGGACACAACCCCTTACCCACTTTCTTGTGAATTCTGAAACAGCCAGAGAGAGAAACCATGGTAGTGCTAAGCTAAAGCTAGCCTAGGCTACCACCAGAAATAAAAACCGTGTGAATGTGAAAAGTGTGTATTAAAATGCAGCAATGGAAAATGTGTTTAAAGTTGCTTCTGGACAAAGACATTTAAGCTCAAATGGTGAGAGTATGAGCAGCACCACAGCATGTAGATCTACTGAACAACAAGTAAAACAGGAAGATACACAATGTGCCTTACAAAAGCCTCAGGAGTTTACTAGTGGTCCCTAGAATTTCTCAAAGTAGAATGGGAGGCAGATCTTTTAGTTATCAGGCTCCTCTCCTGTGGAACCAACTACCAGTTTTAGTCCGTGAGGCAGACACCATGTCTAGGCTAGGCTTAAAACCTTATGCTTATAGTTAGAGTGGCTCAGGTTATCCTGAGCTATCGTGAATTGGTGCTATATTTATAAACTGAACTAAAATTGATTTGAAATGTATGAGGGTTATCTGTCAGTACAGGGCCAGCCCAAGGCATAAGCAATCTAAGGCTACGTTCACACTGCAGGACTTGTTGCTCAATTCGGATTTTCCACATGCGCAGTAGAGGACACAATGACATCACAAGCGAGCGTGATGTGTTTACAGAAATAAACATGGACGGTAGTGCTGGAGCGCATCTTGCAGTCTTTCATTTCTTTCTCAATCTTAGCCAGAGTATTAACAGCACAATCTTTTCAAGAACTTTGAAAATAAAGACTGCTCTACTCATTATCATCCGCCATTGTTTTTGTTTTTCTTTCTTGACTTTTGTTGAGTATTAATAACGTTCAGGTCTGATTAATGTAAGCTGCCCGTTTAGACACAGCTCGCGCTTAAAACTATCAGATTCGTATTGGATTCAGGAACACATAGCCAAGTGGCCTGGGTGCATTGGAAAAAATGGGATCTGTGTTGCTAAGACTATAATAAAAAGATCAGATACAGGTCGCATAAGGGCAAAAGAAATGGATTTGGGTCACATCAGGCTCCTGTGGGATTGTGAACGTAGTCTAAGTGATTACTTAGGCACTGAGGGGAAACTGGGGCCCCAAGAATTTTTTTTATTTTTTGCACATTAATGATTTCTAAATAAATAGAGTAAGGAAAACACAAGTTTATGATACACTTACGCGTATTTTAAATCAGTATATGTAAAATAATATGGCATATGTTGTCGGAAATTTTTGATTTCTCCTGTCTCATATATTTGGTTATGCTATTTTTTTGAGTGAAAAATGTTTTTACTCAGTTTGTTTCACCTGCAAGGCAGAGAAAACTGTCTGAGTGAGTGGTGGTTTAATTATTCCCACAAAAAGCCAAATTCCTTCTCAAGGTTTGTTAAGGTGTGTGTAATTTGTTTTGACTCTGACACAACCTTCACAGTTTTTTCCTCAACATAAGTAAGGGAGGAAAACTCTGCCTGTGCCGTAAGGGGCGTATGATGAACTGTTCTCTCTTTGCAAAGATATGATTAATAAAGTGCCGACTAGCTGAAATCTATCAATCTCCATTTATTTAACTAGGGTGAATAGTTGAATACTTTTTTTCCCCTACTACACGTACTATACACAAAAAAAGAAGATTTTGGGGCCGGACTGAGACACTCAGAGGCAGAACCAGTTTAAACTTCTCTGAGATAAACTTATTTCTGGAGAACAATGTGATAGTGATTAGGAACTGGTTTCAGAGATGGAGAACCTTCCGGACATGCTGAAGCACAGAGGACCTGATTTCCTCTCTTGCTTGTCTCTAAATGAGATCAGAGTTTAACACAGATCTTTGGGTCACTCTGAGGAGGGCTGCATCTGCACATTTTCCAAACTCTTCCTAATAAATAACCAGCTGAGATCTTCAATGGCAGAGGAATGATCAGTGGGCTGGAAGTGATCAGCAGGATCAACTAAGCTGTCTATCAGATCTCTATCAATGATGTCATCAGTGACATTGCAAACAGAGAATCAGGAAGTTCATGTTTGACTAAATGGAGCACTGAGGAAGAACAGAGAAACATAAAAGACCAGATGTGGGTTAAGGTTCATGTTTTCAGGTGGAGCTTTTATAGAGTTTTAGGAACTAATTATTCTACTTTAAATGTCATTTCATTTTCTACCTGGTTTCAGGAATCTTTTTATTTCCATTATCTAAAAAAACACTTAATATTTAATGTTTCATTTAATGGTGCTGTTGAATAATGTAACACTTTTAAGTTAAATGCACTGCATATTAGTTGATTTATTTTATTACCTTTATTGATACTAGATAATGCCACTGATGGTGGTCAGAGGGCCCTGTGGAGCCAGTGCACGGCAGCCTTGCTTCTGTCATGTAATATGAACCACCATGTGGTTTGCCACCATCAGTGTGTGAGTGAATGGGTGAATGACTGAATGTAGTGTAAAGCACTTTTTTCAAGTCCTCTGAGTTGAAAGAGCACTATATAAGTACAGGCCATTTACCATTTTACAGATAAATAAAAGTGTAGTAAAACAGCATTAGCTGATCTACAATAAGTTTATAGCAGGTGTGTGTGAATTACCTAATCATCTGGCTGTAATTCATAGTGTCAGAAAAGGGCCCCAACATCTAATTTAGCTTAGGGCCCCATAGAGGATAGGCCGGCCCTGGTTAAGTGACAGCTGCACACATGGTTTTTGAGATATCAGGGATTTATTTGTTTGCTTCAAGCTTTAGAATTTCTTCATAATATAATATTTTGTTTGGACAGCAGCACAAACTCTTTGTGCATAAGAAACTGGTTGAATCCAGGAAATACCTCTCAGCATTGACACCTGTGTTAAAAAGAAATGTTTCTTGCATAGAATACTAAGACCCCACAGAGAATGTCAGAAATTGTTCTTATTCTTTATGTTTTTCTAAAATTATTCTTCCATCTTTGTCTCTTTATTCAGAGGTTGTTGGTCAATGTCAACGTGACCTTAAAGCGTCTCTGAAGAAAGAGTTTGAATGTGTCTCTGAAGGCGTTGCTAAAGCTGGAAAGGAAACCTTTCTGGATGACATCTACACAGAGCTCTACATCACAGAGGGAAAGACTACAGAGGTCAACGATGAACATGAGGTCAGAAGGATTGAAGCAGCATCCTGGAAACAAAACAGACCAGCAGAAACAATCAGATCAGAAGACATCTTCAAATCAACAGAAGGAAAGAGTCAGATCAGAACCGTGATGACGATGGGCGTGGCTGGCATTGGGAAAACATTCTTAACACAGAAGTTCACTCTGGACTGGGCTGAAGGCAGAACCAACCAGAACATCCAGTTCATATTTCCATTCACCTTCAGACAGCTGAATGTTCTGAAAAAAGAGTTCAGCTTGGTGGGACTGATTCATAAACACTTTAAGCCAATCAGAGACAAAAGGATCCACAGCTTTGAAAACTTCCAGGTTCTGTTCATCTTAGATGGTCTGGATGAGAGTCGACTTTCTTTCCACCTCAATCAGATCCTGACTGACGTTAGAGAGTCCACCTCAGT